TGGCTTGCCAATACCCAGTAGGCAAGCTGAATCCATGGCTTGTCAATCCCCAGTAGGCAAGCTGAATCCATGGCTTGTCATGTGGTTTCCGTCACACACAAATTATTTTGCCCCGCCGAAAGAGCTGAAAATGAACAAGTGATATAGTACCAATGTTGATGATTCCTAGTTCAGTTGAGACACAATAATCGATGCTGTATACTAAATAAAGGTTCGATCGATGACCACAAAGCCATATGGAATGCAGTGTATATAGCGTTGCCTGATGGGTTGAGCAGAATCAGCGTTCAACGTGGATGTTGTTTGATCCAACGTGTTAGCTGTCAGCGATCTCCTTGCATCGCCTATTTTTATGTAATCGCTATAGTGAATATTTTTACACGTTTTGTTTAATACATCCTGCCTGCGATATAATGTTGCATAAACAAGACATTACTATAAAAGAGAACATAATCTGTGTAAATATGTATTTGGAAAGATAATTAAGTGGAAATATTAAAATATAATCTTTAAACCAAGACACATATTGAAAAGGCTGCGTGTCACGAAGTTGATAAGCATTTGAGATATGCAAATATTTTTTCACAGAGATATAATTATTATAACATAAGTACTTCCAAAGAAAAGGTTAAAAATGAATTTCTTAAAAAAGTGAAAAATCTTTCTTGAAACTTTGATCTTCGTTTTAATTTCAAGCTAATAGATTAAATTTAATATTTTCAATAAGCAAATACTTAAATTGTCTGGAAGAAGTTTTCCTTTTGAAATCAATAACATTCGCAGATTTTACCGCCATTTTAAGCTATTGCAGTGTAATTCTCTTTATTAAAAAAATCTTTCAAAAATAAAATATATTTCCCGAAACTTTATTTGAGGAAAATTAGTTGATTTAAATTTTAATTAAACTGATTTTAATCAAATATTAATTACTTTTAGTTTAAATTATTACAGAAATGCATTTTTAACACGGTAGTAGCTGTTTATTTTAGGTATTGACAGGTTGACAGCTTGAATGATGGAAATTTACCTCATGTTTTTCTACGGTGAACTGTAAAATTTACTTTGGGAATATAATTCGAGCGCCTTTTTATATAATTTTAACTACCTAGTAATCTTAAAAATTTAGGAAAATATTCTCCGTAATCTAATGTTTTATTGAATTTTAGGTTCTTTGGCTTTAAATTTACTATAGTTATCTTTCTTATTTTATGATAATGTCATATGACCGTATTTACAAAAATCGACACGTTTATAGACCCCAAAATTTCAAAATTCCTTTTAAAATATTGGGCGTCAATGAATTGTATTGAGAGTTTTCATTTGATTAGTAAATATAGTTTTTACTCAATAACAATATTACCCTACAACCTCTACAAAATAAAACAGAATTTTAAAAGATTTAAAACTTTATAATTTATTATAATTAAAATTTTAAAAAATGAAAACACTTCTTGTAAAAATTCATTATTTAACGATTTTTTTCTTAAAACAATAGTGTCCATAATATATTTTATTCATAAAAGCAATTAAAAGCTTTTCTAATGAAATAATTCCTTTGTTTTATGACATTTTGTTAATTTTACGTTTCAGAACATATTTTCGGTAACTGGGGCAATGTTTTACAAAAAGAAATTGATGATTTAAATCCTCCAAGAAGTTCTGCTTTTACTAATATAAACATTAAGTGTCACAAAATTTAATTTCTCGAAATTTCATAAAATTAAATAAGTGTATGTGTGTGAGGGGGGGGTGCAGATGTAAAAAATATATTTTTACCAAGATTTTCTAAAAAGAAAAAAAAACAATTGTAAAATAATTTCATTCATTTGTGAATAAGTCCTAAAATTTTGATTAAAATCAAACGGTTATTTGATTTTTGCAAGAATTTAGAAATCAATGTATTTTTCACTGAAAAAAGGCTCTAACATTTCCTTAGGCCATCGCGCTGACGCAACATTTCGGACATTCTAAAAAGGACAAAAATATATTTTAATAATCAAAAAATACTTTGGTCGTTTTCTCTTAATAATAGCATAAAGATTTTGACGATGAAAAATATGTTTTTAGCAAGTTTTCATCGATGTATTTTATTTTTTACCTAACCACATATACTAATGAATTATAATAATTTGCATTATCAAATTATTTGGGCTAATGTTAACAATCAGAAATTATGATAATAAATAAGGAATTTAAATGAAACAAAATAAAAAAATTGCTACAGGTAAAAAATATCTAAAGACACTCTGCATATTGGGTCATTTTCTCTTTCATCGACTGCTTATGACCGGTGAACGCTACGCATACCGTAACTTTCCCCAAATTTATTGCATATTTCGTCTGAAAGTACCATAAATTTTTATTGTAGATTATTATTACTATTTCTTTTTTACCTTCATTTGTTTTATAACCACATATCAATGACCTAAGGCTAACGAAAGATGTGATTTTTTGTTGTTTCCACTTAATTAAACAAAAGACAGCTATTAATCTATATTATTATTATTATTATTTCAATTTCTGCTATAGTCACACTACCTACCAAGTCTGCGGAAAGACTTAAGGCAGGCCGTAGTATATTGTTATGGCTACATTTCATGATTTGTTTTTCTAACTCCTATGACATCACTAGCGTTACATGGACAAAGTTCTTCTTTGTATGTGGGCTGTACTTATCAAGAAAGTGCTTGAATTTCTCTTAAGCTGGGATTTCCAGGGATTTTTTTCAATGTGTTGTTGCGCTCCTTTTTTATCATTCCAAGCGCACCTATGACTGATACTATTCTTGTTTGCAATTTCCATATTTTTCTATTTCGATTTCCAGGTCTTTGTACTTTGATAGTTTTTCAAATTCCTTGGTTGCTATGTTACAGTCCGTTGGGCAAACCATATCAAGTAGGTAGGTTATTATTATTATTATTATTATTATTATTATTTCTCCTATGGTCACCCTAGCTACCAAGTCTGTAGGAAGACCTAAGGTAGGTAGTGGTGTGCTATGACTACATTTCATGATTTGTTTTTCTACCTTCTATATCACCAATAGCGTTACAGGGACAAAATTCTTCTTAGTGTGTGGGCAGTACTTATATTATTTATTTATTTGTTTATTTTCTGTGATCTGTCTCCAAGTTTCAAGCAAAGTCAGCAAATTTTGGCACCAAAAGTGCCAATATGGGAGTTGCTACATATTTTGTGGGGTTGGGAAATGTTCAGAATTATTTATTATTATTATTATTAATATTATTATTTGTGTATGTTATGTTTCCTGCTTTGTATCCTGTAGAGCCAGGTCCCAACTATAGTCCTTAGGCCCTATAGGAGAATTGTCATTTAATTAATAGCACTTTTCTTAGTATATGGGATGTTCCTAGTAGGACGATCTTCTGGGCAACTTCTCTGTTGATGTTACCTGGGACACAGTAAAATTGTCCATTCCCTTTCTCACGAGGCCCAGTGCTCCGGTTACTATTGGTATAGTCTCAGTCATCATTCTCCACATCCTGTTAATCTCCATCTCTAGGTCCTTATATTTGGACAATTTCTCAATAATTTTCATGGAGGTGTTTCGCTCAGATGTACTGCTATGCCAATAAGCATACATTTCCTGAATTTCTTGTCTTTTATGATAATATCAGATCTGTTGGCTTTTATTTCCCTGTCAGTTTGAATTGGAATGTTCCCGAGGATAGTTACATCGTTCTTTTGGTTAACAGTATCTGCTTGGTGCTCATACCATCTCTCAGTGGTTTCGATTTTGTGCACATATGTCGCTACCTTGTTATCTATGTGGGTATATTCATTTTTTGCTAGTTCCAGGCATCCTGAGATAATATGGTCGACAGTCTAATCATATTTTCCGTAGATCCTGTATTTCGGGTTTGTTCCATCCTTGATTATGTGACAATGATAGGATCTGGTTGCGAGGCTTTGGTCCTGAGCTGTATTAATTAGACCTTCTGTTTCAACTTTCAACTCGGTGCTCCTCAGCCACTGATGTGCTTTCTGTTGGTGCACATCTGCTTCTTTCGTTCTTGTTGGGTATTTGCCATGCAATGCCATGTCCTCCCAGTTTTATTCTTAATTTCATTTGGCCAATTTTTTTTGCTTTCTGTTTTACTCATTTGACGTAGATGGTATTTGCTTGTTTTTTTTTTGTTTTTTTGCAGGATTTCAGGTATATTAAGCTGTTTCTTGAAGAGTGCAGCTTCTTTGTTCATGGAGTGGATTTGGTGTTTTACTCTTTGTAGGAGAGATTTATTGATTTTTGTTTCCTTTGGTTTCTCTTGTATACTAATTTCCTTCCAGGTTCCAACCAGAAACCTAATGTCAGAAATGCTATCATGACATTTTCCACTGAATATTATTATTATTCTTTTTATTTAATTTGAACTAATTGTTATTAGTACTACTAATAATTAAATTTGGACTAATTATTATTATTATTAACCCTAGAACTCTAACCACGGGTATATAGTTCCCAGCGCAAATTTTCCTATTTTTAATTACAATTTTCAGTACCTGATTTTCTTACCTAAATAATGTTTTTCAGTTCCTATTAATGTTAACTCAAAGTACAAAGTTTGAAATGCCTGCATGTAAAATATTTCAAATAAAGATTTATATTTAATATTTATTTTGATATTTTCAAAATCGGGTATGATATACCCATGGTTAACAGTGGTGTAACTTTAATTGATGGTTAGTGTTCTAGGGTTAATAATTAAATTTGGACTTATTATTATTAAATTTGTACTAAATTTGATGTTACTTTTTAAGTTTTTATTACAATATTTAAGGGATTTCGATCATTATCATAAACAGCATGAAATCGGAAAAAAAGTAGACTTTGTGTTCCTATCCCGTCGCGTGATATTCACGCCAGCCGTTGGTATAATAATTTCGTTTCTTATTGGGTAATGGATATGATTTTGTGTCAAAACTGAGCCCATATCCAGCCAAATATTCCAGCGAAATGGTGGGATTAAAATGGAACTTACAGAACATCATCATTCCATTCTGTTGTAGTGACATCCGTTCCCGTAAGAGTACCGAAGGCGTAAAGAATGTGGGTGCACAGCTTCGGGTCAATGTCACGTGGTAAGAACTTGCCTGTACCGTGTCTGTACTGCGACCAGTTGGTGTAGTAGCAAAACAATTGGTAACATAACACTGCAAAATATAATAATAAAAATGATTTGCAATCAAAGTCAACTTCGAATGAAAACCTATAAATAAAACAAACTGTTTTTTTTTTTTAAGAATAAGAATATTGAACGGAGAGATGGTAAAACGGACGACGGATAATTCTTGAAAAACTTGCTAGTCAGAGATTTTACACGTACAAAACAATTAGCAAATATAATTGTCTATAATAAAACAGAATATGAATTGTTATTCCTTTGTTAAGTAAAAAGCATGAATGTATTTTATTTTTATAGACAATGTGATCCCCACTTGGCAATACAATAAAGTATAAAAGGCTTTTCAGTTAGTTTGTCTTACTGTGTTTTGGGTCAATCGCACTAATTTTGACTTTCTTGTTTTTGACAATTGTTGTAGAGTAGTTTCACAGTGGAGGCTTTTATTTCACTAAGTTGGTCCTAAAATAGGTTCGACGTACAAAACGTTAGGAACTTGATATAATATGTAATGACGCAGAGAAATCTAGTGGTGGTCGCTGATACTTTTAGTATCCGACTAACGGTCGTCCGACATCGACTGACTGACCAACTCCTCACTGAGCGACTGCTACTACTCCTACTTATTATAGGTGGGAGAATCTATTAACAATAGAATAGGTGTGTTTCACTATAACAACAATATGGATATCTGTTGAATTTTGGGATACCGTACTCTGTTTTGAAGGGATATGCACTTCCATTCATATAGACGTCATATCAAATACCTCCATCTGAGAGCCCTTTGAATTGTCCTCGTCTAGTCCGTGAGCTTCCAATGAATCATATGAATTTTACATGCATACATATTTTTGGTGATTGGTCTCAAATTAACCATTTCTTTTTTTTAATTACTGTCTCCAATATGCCATATGATTAGCCTACTGATCGGATGCTTTGCGCAGAATATGTGTTGATCTGTGCCACAATACAGTATCTCTATTGTTTTATTTTCACCTTGTCCATTCTCCTTTTTAATTTAAGTTCATTTTAGATTGGTCACCGTTTTTGACCATTTGCTGTTTAACCCATGATAATTACTGGAACTGGCATAACAAACGACAGAGTCAAAGGACACGGTTCCTCCTTCGATGTTCTACCCCAACGATAGCATCGCCAGTATGTAACATCTTGTGTGTATGCGTGTGTGTGAGTGAATGTGAGTGTGTGTGTGTGTGTGTGTGTGAGAGAGAGAGAGAGAGAGAGTACACAGACCAAACTATAATATCAAGGAAAACTACGATATTCAATTTAACCATCTTCAAAATGAACCGATCGAACGAGTCTCGTTCATATTGGCCATCACCTCCACAATGACAGCCTCTGTCGAGTCTTTCCTAGTGTAGGGCCGATTTTCATAGGAGGCCACATCTTGTGAGTGAATATTTTCGGGCATGAACGTGAAAATTCTCGGGAATAGGGAATTAATGGATTTTATTTTTAAACTGATATTATTACATTATTTATTCCATTTTATTTTATTACTGATATTTCATTGTTTATTACTTTTATTTTAATGGATACACGTGTTTGAGTAAACGCCCCCCTTTTTTCTCAAAATATTGGAAACACTACATTAAACAGTGTTTTTCCCTATAATGGAGAACGCAGGTCCGAACCCTGCCGGAGAGCCATTCTCTCTATTAATCCTTTCGAATACGCAGGCCGGTAGACTTAATTCACATTATTACGAAAACATTTAATAAAAATAACTGGACATCTATTCAAACATGTATAAATACTAAAATAACGTTTATAATAGTATATATATATATATATATATATATATATATATATATATATATATATGATAATGATGTATAATTTTTTATAAATCAAGAACAATTTTAGAGGAAAGCATTAAAAAGTTCTTGTTTAGCAATTTATAACCATTCGCCCTACTCATCATGCAATATTTCCTATAGGATAGAAATAATTATTGACTCGTACCTCTTTGGTTTCATAGCTTCTTCTTTCTAAAGATGCTTAATAATTGCGTGTGTAGTTCCCCTATCACTAGCTTTAATAGTATTTAAATTCTATGTTGTGACGAAGCATTAAAGAAACACTTATACTTCCCTATTTTTTTTTAAATAAAAATTTATCTGGTAGGCTAAGTAGAATCTGACCTGGCATCTCGGTTTTAGTCACTTTTGCCGTAATGTAGCTTCCCCGCGCCTTCTATGTACATATTTTTTACGCTAATTGTTCTGAAAAGATTTTCTCTTTGGTACCTAGACTTTATGAATTTATGCGTAGTACTAGATTGGCAGTTAGGTCTCAGAATTTTACTGTTGAAATTTCTAGATGTAACCGTAAGTTCTATGCTAATAATTTCTTCTTTCGCACTTCTCGCTCGTGGAACTCACTTCCGGTTTCTTGTTTTCCGGTCAACTGCGATCTTCAAAAATTTAATTGCAACGTCAATCGTCTTCTGTTTCCTTGAATCCTGGTCTTTTAATGTTCTCTCTCTCTCTCTCTCTCTCTCTCTCTCTCTCTCTCTCTCTCTCTCTCTCTCTCTCTCTCCTCAATGTTTTCTAAGTTTCTTTCTCTCTCAGTAACTCCTTACTTCATCGCGTAGCTTTATCGTCTTGCTAACGGTGAAATGATTTTTTCAAAATAATTTCACCCCAAGCAATGCAATAAAGTCACTAAGACGTAGGGATCGGTGTTACTGAGCATGAAAGAATATAAGAAAAAATGATTAAGGAGAGAGAACTATAAAAGAAAAGGAATTAAGAAGACAGAAGATAACGATTAGCATTGCATTTAAATTTCTGAAGATTAAAGCTGACTGGAAAGCAAGAAGCCAGAAGAGAGTTTCACAAGCAAGGAATGCAAGAAAAGAAATTGTTAGCATAAAGCTTACGGTTCCATTGAGCAATTTCAACGGTAAAATTCTGAGACTTTAAGGCAACTCTAGTACGGCGCAAAAACTTATAAAGCCTAGGCTCCATAGAGAATTTTTTAAGAAAAAAAAAAGGTGTTCCGTACATTGTAGATACATTATAGTCAGTAAAGTTCAATCTTAGTGTTGGGGTAAAGGAAAAAATCGTTACACACATCGAAGGCACATAGGTTGGCCGAATCCTTAATATTTAATTCCAATCTCCGTTCTTTTGGAAATGTAGGAAGCGTTACGCACAAAGCAGGGATTAATTACGTACGAACAGAAAAAGAGTGTGTCCGTCAAATCGGTGTGTCGATATATCAGGAGGACATAAGTCAGATAATATTATTATTAAGTTGATATTTTCATACTAAAATTGGTATTAACTAGTCAATATTGGTAAAATTTGCAACACAAATTTACATCTGCACAAATACGGGTATCCACTAAAAATAACGTTTGAAGTAAGAAAAATATGTCGGAGTAAAAAAATAAAATCCATTAATTCTTTAGAAATTGTTTTGTTCACGTTTCGAATATGAAACCGAGCTGATATGCATTTCGAGAAAATCTGGAGGAGTGAATGTGCCTTAAAGGCAAATAGAACCCCATTTGATTGTGAGGCTCTTCGTAGCCAAACGGCCAAAGCACATCGGATCAGACTGTATTTTCTCCTGAAAAGCGACGCCGGAGGGCATATTTCCTTTAATAAGTTTTTCTCGAGTGTGAAGCCAGGAGATGAAATAAACCCTGTTTTGTTTTTTTAAAAAATAGAGCCGCTACTAAAATACGAATATCCACTAGAAATAACGCTTATTTTTTTTTACTACCCAAGAACACAATTAACTCATTGCAACTGAAATTGTTATGTCTTTACCGGCGGTCGATAATGATCAACTTTCAAATGAGCAGCATTTCAATGAATCCTAGAAATGCAGTGAAATGGTGTTCTAGTGCTGAAGCAGAATACAATGACATTATTCAAGTTGATATATATATATATATATATATATATATATATATATATATATATATAAAACAACTAAAAAATTGCAAATTAAAAAAATAATAATGTTTTTTATGAAAGTATTTATATTTGACATACTTTTTAGTTGTTTTTTTCTATATATACATATTAAGAAAGTATACGTGGCTTCTCATTATGCTATATATATATATATATATATATATATATATATATATATATATATATATATATATTTCGTACAATTGGAATTAAGATACAATTAGTTAATGACCATTTTCACATGAGAACATTAAATTTTAAAATTCGCAGGTGAAAATGGTCATTAACTTATGGTATGTTAATTCCAAGTGTACGAAAAATTCTGGTCTGTTTAATGAAAATAAACATTGAAGGCTCTTTATGAGTCAGTTTTAACATTTAATATTTCAAATTCTATATTGTGTTAATAGGACTCTCTTGGATTATAGCAACGGATTACTACCTATATATATATATACATACAGGTATATATATATATATATATATATATATATATATATATTAGCATGCAAACAAGCACTCATATACATACACACACTGAACTTGATCCATGGTAGAAATAGTTGCGTATTTCCTGTCAATGTTAGTGGTCGATGTTAAAATTTTGTTTCGAAACCCAAGATTTTGAAAGCTGTTTTTCTAACTTAGAAGATTGGCAGAACATAAACTTTTACTCCTATCCCTTTTCACACATTTCACTTTTAACTGAAAACTTAGTAAATATTGACCTGTAATTAGAACGGATTAGAATTTACATGCTTCGTTTGTGAAAACAAAAGTAAACAAATGTATATTAAGTTCTTGACATGGTGCAATGAACAGCAAACACGTCTCATTAGGCTATTGCGGCGATAATGAGTTCTATCCTCAAGAAGTCTTTCATTAATGCGTCCCACTGCCAGACTAAGAGAGGTGTCTAGAAAACTAACCCCAGAGACCACTACTATTATAGTTAAATAGGCACATCCCACTGAGATATTTGGTGTCACATAATCTTCATTACATTTTCCGTTGTTGTACTAAGCTAATCGTAGTAAATATAAAAAAAACATATTACACGTTTTAATGATAGGAG